TCATCATCATCATCATCATCATCATCATCATCATCATCATCATCATCATCATCATCATCAGCAGCAGCAGCAGCAGCAGCATCAGCATCATCATCATCATCATCATCATCATCATCATCATCATCATCATCATCAGCATCATCATCATCATCATCATCATTTCCATCAGAATCATCATCATCAACAACAGCATCATCATCATCATCAGCATCATCATCATCGTCATCAACAACAGCATCATCATCATCATCATCATCACCATCATCATCATCATCATCATCATCATCATCATCATCAGCACCATCATCATCAGCATCAGCATCAGCATCAGCATCAGCATCAGCATCATCGTCACCAACGTCGTCGTCATCATGATCATCATCAGCATTATCAGTACCATCATCATCATCAACACCATCATCATCATCATCATCATCATCATCGTCACCATCGGCATCATCATCAGCATCATCATCATTAACATCATCATGATTATCATCATGATCACCCTTCTCATCATCATCACCATCAGCATCATCAGCATCGTCAACATCATTACAATCATCATCATGATCATCATCATCAGCATCATCATTCGCATCATAATCACCATTACCACCATCGTCATCATCATCAGCATCATCATCGAATCATCAACACCATCATCATCATCATCATCATCATCATCATCATCATCATCATCATCATCATAATCAGCATCAGCATCATCAACATCATCGTCATCCTCATCACCATCAACATCATCAGCGTCATCATCGCCATCTTCACCATCAACATCATCATCAGTGTTATCATCACTTTCATCTTCATCCTCGTCTTCGTCTTTATCATAATCAGCATCATTATCAGCACTATCGTCCTCCTCCTCCTCATCATCACCATGCTCAGCAGCATCATCATCAGCATCAGCATCAGTGTCAGCATCATCATCATCAGCATCATCAGCACCAGCATCATCATAATCAGAATCATCACCATGAGCTTCATCATCATCAACATCATCATGAACATCATCGTCATCATCAGCAGCAGAGGCCTCAGCAGTAACACTGTAATCATCATTAGCCTCATCATCATCATCATCATCATCATCATCATCATCATCATCAGCATAATCATCAGCACCAGCTTCATCATCGTCATCAGCCATCGATGTCATCCTTGTCTTCGTCGGCATCGTCATCGTTATCAACAGCATCATCATTAGAAGCATCACAATCACCATCAGCAACAGCAACATCATCATCAGCAGCATCATCTTCGGCGTCGTCGACGTCGTCGTCATCAGCATCATCATCCCAACCACCACCGTCATCAGTTTCAACATCATAATCGTAAGCAGCATCAGGCCCAGCATCTCGATCAACATGATCATCATAAACAGAATCAGAATGGAAATCATCAACATCATCAGCATCATCAGCATCATCATCACTACCATAATCATCATCACGTCCTCATGATAGTGAGCAACAGCATCATGATCAGCAGCATCGTTAGCATTATCGACGCCATCATCAGCAGCATCATCGCCATCATCAGCAACATCAGATTCACCATCATCGTCCATCAACATTATCGTAAGCATCGACAGCATAAAAAATCATCATCATCATCATCGTCATCATCCTAATCAGCATCATCAGCATCGCAATCGTCCTCGTCAGCATCATCATCATCATTAGCAGCATCAGCATCAGCATCAGCATCACAATCATCAGCATCATCACCATTATCATCGGAATATGCATACGCACCATCATCGGCATAGCATCCTCATCAGCCTCATCATCATCAGCATGATCATCATCATCATCATCATCATCATCAGCATCATCATCATCATCATCATCATCATCATAATCATCATTATCACCATCGCCATCTTCCTCCTCATCGTCATCATCAACATAAGCATCAGCATCGGCAACATCAGCATCATCATCATCAGCATCATCAGCATCATCATCGGCATCATCATTACCATCATCACCACCACCATCATCATCATCGACATGATCAGGGTCGCCGTCATCGGCATCAGCAGCCTCATCATCAACATCGTACTCATCAGAATCGTCATCGTCACCATCATCATCATCATCATCACCATCAACATCATCATCAGCAGCAGCATCATCGCCATCGTCATCATCATCATCTGCATCGTCATCACCATCATCATAATCATCTTTGTAATGCGCATCACCATCATCAGCACCATCGTCATCACCATGGTCCTCAGCATCATGGTCATCATCATCCTCATCAGCATCCTCATCATCACCACCGAAATCATGGTCCTCACTACCGATATCAGCATTAAAAGCATTACAATTATCGGTACAGTCGCCACAGGTATCATCATCGTCTTCCGAGTCATCGCACTTACCATCACAAGCATCATCGTCTTCAATATAAGCCTCATCATTACCATCATCCTCACCATCAGCATCTCCAGCAGCACCAACGTACACATCATCGTAAGCATAATCAGAATCACTTTCGCCATGATAATAATAATAACTATCATCATCAGCATCATCAGTATCCATATCATCATCACCACCATCATCATCGTCATCATCATCATCGTCATAAGCATCATCATCAGCAGCAGCAGCCTCATTATAATCGTCAGTGCCACCATCACGATATTGAGGATTATCAGCAAATTCAGCATGACCATCCTGAACCTGATCCTCAACCTCATCCTCATTATCATCCTCATCATCATCCTCATCATTATCCTCATCATCCTATTCATCCTCATCATCATCAGCAGCATCGTCATAATCATCATCATCAGCATCACCATCATCATCATCATCATCATCACCATCGTCATCGTCGTCGTGGTCGTCGTCGTCGTCGTCCATCTTCTCCTCCATCTTGCACGCCTCCTAATCATCCTCTTCCTCTTACTCCTCCTCCTCCTCTTCCTCCTCCTCGTCCTCTGCCTTCGCCTCCTCCTCCCCCTCCTCCTCCACCTCCTCTTCATCCTCCTCCTCCTCTTCCTCCTGGTCCTCATCCTCCTCCTCCTCCTCCTCCTCCTCCTCCTCATCCTTCTCCTCCTCCCCCTCCCCCTCCTCCACCTCCTCCTCCTCCTCCTCATCCCCCTCCTCATCCTCCTCCTCCCCCTCATCGTCCTCGTCCTCGTCCTCGTCCTCGTCCACCTCCTCGTCCTCCTCCCCCTCCTCCTCATTCTCATCCTCCTCCTCCCTCCTCCTGATCTTCCTTGTCCTCTTCCTCCTCTTTCTCACATTTTTGTATTAACCAGAGTAGTGTCATTAGTATTAGTGTTACGATTAGTAGTATGAGCATCATGATCACTATCATCATTACTACCCGTAACATACGCTTGGCATTCATACTATTATCAGTATGGTTAGTGGTGGTACGAGTATTGATGTTCATAGTATTATTAGTACTCCTCGCATTCATCTTCTTAGTAATATTGATGTTACTGGTATCATCAGTGTTCTTAATACTTTGCTTATTCACTTTATTTTTAATAGTATGATCGTTATCAGGTTTACTGTTACGATTATCGTTATGATTAATCGCGTTCTTGGATTACCCTTATCACTCGCATTGGTCTTATTATTAGTACTGATATAGCATTCGCATTGTCAATATGACTTTTATTGTAATTAACAATGTTATTAGTCTTATGTTTAGTATTGGTATGCGTATCGATATGATTGTTCGTAGTAGTATCACCAGTTACCAGTTTGCTTACTGCTAGCAACTTACGTGTTACGTTGTAAGTATTAGTATGCCTACTGTTTGCAACTTCGTGTGATTAATAGTTTCCGTATGGTTAGTAGTATTCTTAGTCTTAGTATCATTCGTCGAAATATTGGTAATGTTCTTCCTTTCACTACTATCCTTATTCTTGAGTATGCTTATTATTCTTCGTACTATAAACCTTACTATTCTTAATGTTGTTTCTGCTACCGGCCACCGCCCGGACGCGCGGAGCGCATGATATGATTTCAACATGGCATCGAACATCGAATGTGCGACACGCCATGCGTACACGTGCCTCGGTACTTTCATTTTTGGGGTGAAATGCGTTGGGTCGAACTCGTCTGGGTCGGCCGCGACGCCGTGGGACCAAGTCTACCACGGCGACGATTACGAGGCAGTCGACTACGGGTTGCCGTAGGACGCCCCGGGGGCTGCGCCATCGAAACGTGGCGACCAACACCGGAGCCAGTCCACGGTGCTGGACGGGCCCCGCCAGTCCTTGCGGACCGATCACACCCCGGTCACGGTCCACAGGCAGGGCCACACATATTCATTAAGAGTAGAGGAGCGGGTGGGTGGGGAGAGACAGAGCACACAGATTGCACGCGCGTGCTCGCACCCTTGAGCGCAAAATGGCAATGGATGAGAGAACGCACGGGCAAGACCACACTATCGTGTGCCGCCACAGGGGCCAGCCTGTGGCCTCCAAAGCCCTGGGAACTCTGAGAGCCGGCGAGTCCAGAGGCACGGACGCAAGGCGAGCGAGATTATCTTCGGCCCATTTCCACAACAGCCGACGGTCTGGTCAGTGCACCACCACCATCGCAGGGCAACATAAAGACAACCGTACCGCAAGCTCCACTCTACCACTTAATGTTGTTTCTGCTACCGGCCACCGCCTGGACGCGCGGAGCGCATGATATGATTTCAACATGGCATCGAACATCGAATGTGCGACACGCCATGCGTACACGTGCCTCGGTACTTTCATTTTTTGGGCGAAATGCGCTGGGTCGAACTCGTCTGGGTCGGCCGCGACGCCGTGGGACCAAGTCTACCACGGCGACGATTACGAGGCAGTCGACTACGGGTTGCCGCAGGACGCCCCGGGGGCTGCGCCATCGAAACGTGGCGACCAACACCGGAGCCAGTCCACGGTGCTGGACGGGCCCCGCCAGTCCTTGCGGACCGATCACACCCATTTACCCAGACGAGCTCCCCAGCTCCCCCTCGAAGCACTTCTCACATCGCGGTGAGCCGCTGCATTTGCTCACCGTGGAGAAACCTTTCATGGACGCACCGTACTTCCAACCACACCTGGCCGACCAGAGGCCCGGCTGGAGCTTGTACCAGTAACGACTGAGCGGACGGTGCACCACTCCGTACGAAGACAATATCAGCCCGCCCGTCTCGACGCGCGCCAACCGGTCCTCCATGCCAGCGATGCGCGCGCAGGATGCTTCCCCTTCCATGCCAACCGGTCCTCCATGCCTTGAAAGCCCTAGCGTCGCCCTCTGATCGAGTCGCGATCGCCTCCAGTGAGAGCGTCGCGTTTCGCCTGCGGCACTCTGCGCCCACGACAGCGAACGGCGCCTCGGACACGTACCGCATGATGACCTGGGAGGACCAACGGGCAAGCAGCTGAATGACCATGAGGGGTATGCCAATTGACGCCAGGTGCTGCGCGCCAGAGACACGGAAGGTGCGGCCGCCGAACCGGCGCCCTCCTGAATGATCAACAAGAGGTAAATTGAGAAGCTCGGCGAGGGCCTCGATGAGATCGACGATCTTCTCTTTGGCCACCACATGGCCCTCCACCGTCGGGAAAACCGGGAGCGTGCGTGTTACGTCACCAAGCGCTTCATGGCATCGCGCCCTCTGCCGCACGAGAGCGTGGCAGGGGCACGGGCGAGCGCGGCCCCCCCCGCACACGCATTCCCACACGCGCTCTACTCCAAGAGCGGATGGGTCGGTCTTCGATGCAGGCAAGACCCATGTAACCTTGGCTGCAACATCGTCGAGCGTGACGTGCCCCCAGCATGCGAGGCTGAGCTCAATCTCCCGGAGGCAGAAGAAAGAAGCCGCTATAGCAAGGTCAGCACCACCCAGCGGGCCGCCAGACACAGTAATGATACCCCGCTCGCCGAGGGCGGCGAGCTCGGGAAGCGGGAGCGCGGCGGACTGCCGCCCAGGCCCCATTCCCCGCGTGACGCTGCGGATCGCCCGCGCCGATGCCTGCTGCAGCGTATCATGCCAGACGTATCCCAACTCGATGTGCCGGCCCTTTGCCCTCGCGAAGTAGTCCTTCGCGCTGCGGTAGTGCCCCGCCTTGAACGCTGCGCCGACAGCGTAGAGGATGTCCACCGACAAAGGGAAAGCTGGAACGGACTCGGCAAACCACGCTGTGTGAAACTCCAACCACGTGCGAAGGTAGGAGTCCCGAGTGGCCCAGGACGAGGCAGCATGCTGATCTGACATCAAAGACTGCAGGGCACGTGCGCGCCCCTCCTCGGTAGAGATCGCCGCGAGGGCCGCCGGCTTCGAGCCGCGCCGAATGCACGAGATGAGCGGCTCGTCGGCTCTGCGCCGCGACGGCATTTGCGCGGGCAAGGGCAACGAAGACGAGGAGCCAGGCACAACAACCGCATCAGGAATCGCGGCGTTCCCTACCGGCGTAACCCCAGGAGCAGCGGCCGCGTCACGCCTTACAGCGGCGCCGGGCGGCGTCACCTCGCAAGCGGGCGGCCACGCCGCTGCCCGGCCAGTGGCCCAAAATCGGGCCTCCCAAGACAGCGAGTCGGGGAGCGAAGGCTCGGCCCGGCCGAACGCGAGGGCGCTGCCCGCGACATCCCTACGGCTGTATTTCGCGGGCCTGGACATCGGGCCAGCCCCAGCCTGACCCGAAACAGCTACGGACAGCAGGGGGGGACGCAATCGATTGCCCCGACTACCCTACCGCCGGACCAGGTCCACGGCGGTAGATAAGACGACGGACTACGTCCACGCCGCCAGCGGGGGGCTTCCCTGCAGGACCTCGTTCCACTGCAGTGCTCACTACACCACCCGCTACGACGAGAGAGCCGTGCGAGGGGCAGGAAAAGCAGGACCTCGCCCCCTGCAATGCTCACTCCACATCTATCCGCTGCGACGAGAAGAGTGGTGCCAGTGGCGGGGGCTGTCGTGCAAGACGTAGGCGTCCACCGCCAGGTTGTCCACCACGTGGCCTGAGGGTCACGGAGGTCGCCGGAACGACCACCGCAACCCCACCGAGCGCCTCGAAGGAACACGCCCTGCTCCATGATGGCCACGAGCGTCCAGAACGCCTGGAGGAACGAGAGGGAGGTGTGGCGACGGCGTCGGGGCGCAGGACAAGTTGACTACGCCGTGGCGACGGCACACGGGCTCAGGAGTTGTCAACTGCGTTCCCGCCCGCCGGCCGCGGCAAGGGGCCCCCGACGGCCAACTGTGGCCGCAGCTAGGTGGCCGGAGGGCGTTGCGCAAGGGGGGGCAGGGCTTGTCCGCAGAAGGTCCCCCCCGTCACCCGCTCCGGCCGGCTACGACCGTTACCTCGTGGGACAGGGGAGCATCGGCATAGCACCGGCATGAGTAGCCAGAAGTGGCTCAAGACCCCCCCCCCTTTTTGCCACGCCCCCCCCCTGCAAAGTACCTCCGCCATCTTCCGCAGAAATTCCGCCGGCGCCCCCAGGGGGAGGGGGGGGGGCGACATGTTAACACCCCTCGCCCCGTCCCGGCCGCGTGGCCGATACCACGAGGGCTCGTCATTGGGGGCCCCCGGAGGCTTTCTGAGGTCACCAGCCTCGGTGACCTTCCAGAGGCCCCCGGAGGCCTTCTGAGGTCACCGGCTGATGTGGTGACGTTAACTCGGCCGGGCCAAGGGACTCTGACTGGCCAGATTATCGGCCAAGCACCTGGGGCCGCGTGGGCAGCCCCGGGGGCCCAGCCTAGTGCGGGACATGTCGACCGCACCGGCACCGGCCTCGGTGACCTTCCGAAGGCCCCTGGAGGCCTTCTGAGGTCACCGGCCAGATGTGGTGACATCAACTCGGCCGGGCCAAGGGACACTGGCCAGATTACCGGCCAACCCCGTGCAAGGGGCCGCCTGGGCAGCCCCGGGAGCCCGGCCTAGTGCGGGACATGTCGACCGCACCGGCACCGGCTTCGGTGACCTTCCGGAGGCCCCCGGAGGCCTTCTGAGGTCACCGGCCAGAGGTGGTGACGTTAACTCGGCCGGGCCAGGGGGCTCTGGCCAGATTATCGGCCAAGCCCCTGGGGCCGCCTGGGCAGCCCCGGGAGCCCGGCCTGGTGCGGGACATGTCGACCGCACCGGCATGTTTAGCTCGGGACGCGTCGACCGAGCAACCCATGCCACCCGTGCAAATGCAGGAGCACGTCGACTGCACACGCACGTGACCCCACTCCTGCGCCGCAGCGGCGCTCAGGAGACAGGCGGAGCGGCCTGGGTGTCGAGCCTCGTATCCGCCATGCCGCTGCGGGACGGTGTCCACCACAGCCGTCGGTTCGAGATGTTTTCGTGCTGGCGAAATGGGGCTGCAATGAATCAGCGATTGCAGCCCGAATCCTTTCGCTTGCACGTCTCTCGAACCAATGGCGCCGGAAGCGTCGCTGCGGGACAAAGTCTACCGCAGGCGTGCCGGCGCGGAAGATACCAGTCCACTCACTCCGTCTGCTCTGCGGGCTGGTCGGCGGAGGCCTGCTGGGCGCCCTCGTGCGTCGCCTGGTTGAGCGCCTCGTTGACGAGAGCCGCGACCTCGAAGAAGTCCGCGTTGACCTCGGGAGGCTGCTGCTCGAGCGTCTCGGGGAGGGGAGGGGCCCAGGCGACGCCGGGCTGGAACCGCCTAGACAAAGAGTCGGCAATCTTCAGGCTGATGCCAGGGGAGTGCGTGCACAACTGAAGTCGAAAGCATCCCCGGGCGAACAGCATGGCGAGCTCCTGGGCGATGATGGAGGTCGCCCCTCCCCTTGCCCTCAGTGTGGCAAGGCACGCGAGCGCGGTGATGCTGTCGGACTTGACCTCGATCTGGCAGCGCTTAAGCAGCCATGTGTGCCGCCAGTGCCTTAGGGCGAGGAGGAAGTTCAACGCCTCCCAACACTGTTGCCCCCTGTGGTCGCCGACCTCGTAGCCGAAGAGCTGGGCGGCGTAGCTGGAGATGAGGACGGCGTGCCAGCCCAGGAGGCTCCGGGAACCATCAGGGAGCGTGCGTAACAAGTACGCCCCCATGCCCCATGGCGACGCGCCCCCGCACAAGATGAGCGGGCAAGCGGGCGAGCCGCATTCCTTGAGGGGGAAGGTGCGCGTCATGCCCTTGATCTCGTGGTTGACGAGTAGGGCGTAATATGCTGCTAATGCATGCCGCACCTGCTTCTGCCAGATGTGGCCCTCTGGGGCGCCGCTGCCCGGGGAACTCGCCGTCCCGAGCGCGGCGCCATACGGGCGCATCGCGAAAAGCAGGCTGGAGAAGTGGTTGGCGAGGCCGATGTACTTGCGCAGCTCGCGGACGCTGATGACGTTCCGCCAGAAAAGGTAGAGCTCAGTCAACTCGTACAGCTCTGCCACCTTCGCCGCCTCGATGTGGGCCTGCAGGATGTCGGCGTTGATGCGGACTGTGACGCCGATCCACGTGACCATCTGGCCCCGAGCCGCCTTGTGAAAGGCGAGAGGGAAGCCGCACGCCCTCCAGAGGAGCACCAACATGGCGAACACCCTGGAGTTGTCGACCTCGGTGCCGACCGCGGTCGTGATGGGGTCGTCGACGTAGCACTGGAGACGCGATCGCCTCCCGACGTGGGACGCAGAGACGACCGCTTGAGAGCACCTCAGCAACACTGCGGCGATGGCCGCCCACGCCAGAGGGCCATTTCGGGAGCCCTGGGCGGCGCGCAGGAAGACCAAATACTTCCCGCGGACACGGCTGCAGAAGTACCGCCTTTCCCGGGGGCTGAGCGGGATGTGCCAAGAGGCGTCGACGAAGTCGAGCACCATGAACTCGACGAGCCCGCACTCTTCTGCCGACGCGGCCGCTGCCATCGCATCCCCGAGGAGGTCGGAGACCCGCGGCAGGATTACCCTGAAGGACTGCTTCGTGCGGAACGTGACGAGCGAGCGTTTGAGGTCAAGTATGAGCCGCCTCTTAAGCCGGCCGGCCTTGAGCCTCTCCAGGACACAGAACTTGGAGAAGACAGGCTCGCAGAGCTCCCGGTACGTGTCGAACTCGGCAAGGTAGCCCTTCTCCACGTAGCCCCTGACCTCGTCGACCGCCGCGTCGTCATTGCCCATGACCGGGTAGCCGGCAAATCTCTCCCCGACCGGCTGCTCCGACGCCTCGGCGATCAAGTTGTCCGAGGGGCACTTGCAAGGGTTGTCGCTGACGGGAAACACGCCGCCAACGTCGGGGTCGTCGTCGATGCCGGCAGGAGCGCCGTGCCAGAGCCACGAGAGGACTCGAGCTCCGGGGCCATTCATGCTCTCGGCGAGTGCCTTGAACAAGTTGCCCCGGAGCTGGGTGGAACACGAGGCCGTGGAGACCGGCTGGATGTCCTCCGCGCCGACGAGGGTTGCCAGGGCGACCCTCGCTGGGTTCAGCGCCTCTTCCGACGGCCCCATCTCCGCCGGGTCGCCTGCGTGGGCTGGACGCGAGATGGCGTCGACGATACTCGCCTCGAGGCCGTCCTGGCGGTCAAGATATTCTTCCAGGAGCGAGGCGACCAGCCGCCCCGTCCGTTTCATGTCTGGGTGCCTGCGGACGACGGCAGCGGCGCCGCGCAGCCCTCCGTCGCACTCGGCATCCTGCGCGCGTCGGACGTCTTTCGGATGGACTTCCCGCGCCCGGAGCCTGTGCGAGAAACGCACCTTCGGGTCAAGGGCGAAGGCGCCGCGGGCGCCTGGGGCGGGCGCGGGCGTCAGCCCCGCGGCCGGCGGCCCAGCGCCGGGGGCGCTGCAGGGCCGCTCGCCGACCGCAGAGAGGATCTTCGACAGGAGGTGCGCGTTCATGCCCGCTGGGGGCGCGTCTGCCAGCTCGGCAACGCAGCGGCCCTGCGGCTCCCGGCGACGAAGCATGGAAGGCCGCCACCTCCGAGCGGGGACCGCGATCTGCCTGCCTCGAAGGGCGGGGCGAGCGGCAAAGTAGCTGGCGCCTGACCACGGCACGACCCATCTCCTCCGAGGGTGCCGGCACGCCGCTGGCGCGTCCGAGAAATCGAAGCCGCGCGTCCCCATTAGCGTCGGCCTCGAAAATGAAGCTCCCCAGTAGCACGGCACGACACTGAAGTCCCTCAAGCCGAGTGGCCCATGCGTGACTCCGGCGACCTCCGGGAGCGAGAACAGAGACGGCCGATTCTGCTTCGGCGCTGGGCCCAAGAGGGCCCACGGTCTCGCGAGGGAAGTGAAGAGCTCCGCGGCCTCCGCGGAACGTATCGCGAGGAGCGTGCCAGCCCTCACGTCCTCCTTCTCCGACGGGGCGAGGCTGCTGAGCCCGTAGAGCTCGGGGGGCGCCGGGCCCCGCAGCGGCCGCGGCCCAGCCGGCTCCCCAGGGAGCTGCCTGCTGCCCGCCGAAAATGCGCGGTGCGGAGGCGCTGCGATGAGGGCGCGCCACTCGCCCTGCCGGATTCGGGCGCACAGAGCGTCCCAAACGTCTGTGTCGAGGATGTCGTGCCCGGGGCAGTTCCGGACGTCGATCATCGCGATCTCGACGTTGCGCTGGGCGGCCAGCGAGTCGACGCCGCCCTTCTGCCCAGCGGCGCCCGAGAACAGGTAGAGGATCTTGGCTGCGATGCCGAGAGGCCCGGGAGGCCCTGGCGGCAGCGGGGCACCGGGATCGGGCGATTCAGCACCCGTGCCGCGC